GTGGGTGACAATAACTGTGGTAGTGGATGCAATGATGGTGGTGGTGGTGCGACGGTGGTGGTTATGCTGGCGGCAATGGTGGTAAAGGTGGTGGTGATAGTGATAGAAGTAGTGGTAGANGTGGTGGTGCGACGGTGGTGGTTATGCTGGCGGCAATGGTGGTAAAGGTGGTGGTGATAGTGATAGAAGTAGTGGTAGAACGATTTCAAACACTATTTTTTTTTTAAATATTTATAAGAAATATTTTTTAAAAGTACTTTTAAAACATTACTCCAAAACACACTTATAGGGGTTATTTTTCCTATTAAATTTTGAGTGTTAATATTAGCCGTTAGATTAATTTTAAAGTAAAATTTAAAACGATTTGAACCGCGAAAAGCAAAAATCATTTTGTTTATCTTTTGAAATTTGAATTGTAAGCTATTTTATTATATAGATGGTAGATTTCAATAAACTCATTTGACGGTTTCAAATAGATTCATCTAACAACCACTAACATCTTTCTCAAAATCATTCACATTAAACCGTGCTTTCATGCACGAGTTATCCCTAATAAATAATAATATAAAACAAACTTAAGAATTTAATATTTTTTTTAGATATTATTAGAACTAACACATGCACAATACAGCTGAAAGGACTGAAGAGCCCAATAAACTCGTATTTTACCACCATTTGTAAAAGGACACCTTTGGACGAGCAGGAGGTAGTTTTTTTGGACATTTGAATTTAATCCTGTGTTAATTGGAAAACCGCGGTCTCTAATTGAAAAATAATAATAATTTGTCGCCTCTTTGCTCATGAGACATAATGAGAAAATTTTAATTCTAATTCGTGTGATCTAATTTACTATGGTAGTGAATGGATCTCATTTTCGTTGCATTGGCGATAAAATATTTAGTGCTCATCCGGCATCACATGGCATATCGTCATGTGGTATATATCACTCATAAAATATTAAACCCATTTGGAGTTGATTTTTTGGGTGTAAAATAGAGGTTTGAAAAATAAAATAAAAAAATTAAAGTTTAAAAAATTTTTAGAATCGTTTGAAATATTTCTAAAAAAGTCGACTTTTCCTTGTAAACTATTTAATAAGTCTCATGTTTTAACTTTTCCTAAATACTGATAAAAATTGTTTTTATGAAAAAGTCACCCAATAAGCTCGGGTCTAAACGAATCAGGTTTCTTTTTCTCTGAAACTAAAAAAAATTGAGATTTTAAACTAGATCCAAATAGGCCCATTGTACATTTCTCTATTAATTATTGTCAATTATGAAGATATAAAAAAAAATTAAAAAAAATTTCTCAAATAAGTAAGTGATAAATTCTTATTTGATGTAGACTCCCTGTAACGTTGCTGTCTTATATACACCAAATATCTTTTCCACGTTTGTGGATTCGTGTGATTTGGTGGTTCGGGTCTATTTGCCCATTTTATACGGAGGGAAGACAGAGGAGAGGAGGTCTCTTTCTAGGACGCTTGCATTGGGGCTTGTTGACCGACCCATGTTTTATGCAATGCGTTTAAGGCTTAAGCATGTGTTACTGAGGAATGATTGTTGCATCAAAAGTTGAAATATATTTAAACTTTGTCCCTAAAAAAATAGAGCGGTGAGAAATGAATTTACTATCACACGATTAGGGGCTAGGGTCTGTCAATCTTGTCAATAAATTTAGGGTTCAACTTGTATTAGACATAACTCCGCATTAGGATTCGAAACCAATAAAACTCGAGTTTTTAAAATGACATCACCTTGAATATTCTATGAAACGTATTTTATTGGAGTCATCGTTTATAGATTTACTTTCTGGTATGGAAATGCAATTTTACACAATATCCAGCAATAGCCAGGTGTGTGTGAATAGAACATTAGTCAGCTGTGTGTCAACAGGGCAGTGCTCTTTGGGGTGGAGTCAAACTCTTTCTCGAGTGAGGACAATATAAACTTTATTTATAACTTAAAATTGTAAGATTAACATTACTTTCAAAAATAATATTTTTTTTATAATTACAGTAACATGAAAAAAAAGGTTAATTAGATAACAACACAAAACAATATGCTATATTGTTTGTATAACGTTCTCTTATCAATTTTCAAACTTATTAAATCAAAAAAAAAATTAATAGGAATTGTTTTTTTAAAAAAATTAAATCTATCAAAAGTCTTTTAACTAAAATTAGATATAGTTTCAGTTGAATCTATCATAATTCATAACCAAATTATTTAATTTCAATTAATCGAATCAATCAGACACAAACTAAAATATACAAATTTCAAATGGAGCAACCCAATTAAATATAACAAAATTTTAATAATTTCAATTCCACAAATTAAAATATCCTAGAAGACAAGACTAACTAGATCTGTAATTTATCAATGCATGACTGCAATACTATATCAATAAATCTATTTTGCATAACTAAACTATTTTACGTCTCCCTCATCCAACAATTTTAAATAATATTTCAAATTGATCGATACAAAAGTTGATGAAATCGTTATTGTTCAGTTTAGGCCCAGATAGTAGAATTCAACAATCTATTGTGAAGAAAAAGTTGGATTGGTAAAAATGATAGAAACTCTAACTACAGTGCTAAAAAAAAAATTACAAATCTATTCGTTTATGCCTTTATGGGTTATCTCTCATGACTATACTATGATAGAATGAGCAATGCTAAACAAAAAAACAGATGAGTGAACGATCAAAAGGAAAAATAGGGACTTTTTTTTTAAACCTAACTCTACATTGTATAAAAGAATCCCAGGTTTTATCAAAAATTCAAAACTTCCGTTAAGCCTTTTAAAATATTTTGAAGGAGGGCAATATCTTCAAATTTCAAATATTTGACCTATACCTCAAAAAGTTTTCAGATTTGTAAGGGGCAGCTGTCCCCACGGTCTCCACGGTAAATCCATCCTTGAGTACTACAGTGATCTACTAAGATAGTTGACATATCCAATATATATATATATATGACATCATCCACGGTTCAAATACTAAATGAGTTATGTTTGTACTAAACATGAATAACTCAATTCTAAGTTTATGAATTGTCTCAAGTCTGGTGGATTCGTGTGATTTGGTGCGGTCGGGTCTATTTGCCCATTTTACAAGGAGGGAGGGAGAAAGTCTCTCTCGAGGACGCCTGCATTGTGACTTGTTGACCGACCGATGTTTTACGCAATGCAGTTAAGGCTCAAGCATGTGTTAGTGAGGAATGATTGTCCCATCAAAAGTTGAAATATAATTAATCTTTGTCCCTAGAAAAATAGAGTGGTGAGAAACGAATTTAATACCACAAGGTTAGGGGCTAAGGTCTATCAATCTTGTCTAACAAATTTAGGGTTCGACTTGTATTAGACATAAGTCCGCATTAGCATTCAAAACTAATAAAACTCGAGTTTTAAAATGACATCACTCTGAATATTCTATGAAGTGTATTTTTTTAGTGTCATCGTTTATAGATTTACCTACTTGTATACAGAGACATATTTGCACAATGTCCAACATTAGCCAAGTGTGAATAAGGTAGTACTGCCAAGAGCAAAGCCAGACTCTTTCTCCAGTGGGAGCAATATAAAATTTATTTATAACTCAAATTACAAGATTAACATTACTTTCAAAAAAATATTATTCCAATATATTTTTTTATAATTACACTTGCATAAAAAAAGGTCAATTAGATAGCAACACAAATAATATGCGGCATTTTTTGTATAACATTCTCTTATCAATTTTCAAACTCATTAAATCAAAACAAATTAATAAGAATTTTTTTAAAAAAAATTTAAATCTATCAAAAGTCTTTCAATTAAAATTAGATATAGCTTCAGTTGAATCTATCATAATTCATAACAAAATTATTTAATTTCAATTTATCAAAACAATTGGACACAAACTAAAATATGCAAATTTCAAATGGAGCAACTCAATTAAATATAACAAAATTTCAATAATTTCAATTCCACAAATTAAAATATCCTAAAAGACAGGGCTGATCAGATCTGTAATTTATCAATGCATGACTGCAATACCATATCAATAAACCTACTTTGCATAACCCGACTATTTTACGTCTCCCTCTTCCAACTATTTAAATAATATTACAAGTAAATCGATATAAAATTGATGAAATCGTCATTTTTCAGTTTAGATCTAAAGTGAAATTCAATAGTCTATTGTGAAAAAAAAGTTGAATAGGTAAAAATAATAGAAACCCAAACAACTATGCTAAAAAATAAAAAATTACAAATTACAAATCACAAATCTATTTGTTTATGCCTTTATGAGTTACCTCTCATGGTTTTATTATGATGGAATGAGCAATGCTAAACAAGAAACATACGAAACAAATGGCTAAACGGAAAGTAGGGACTTTTTTTTTTAAACCTAACTCTACAATGTATAAAAGAACCCCAGGTTTTATCAAAATTCTAAAACTTCCCCTAAGCTTTTTAAAATAAATTCAATGGGACAACATTGTCAAATTTCAAATATTCTACCTACACCCCAAAAGTTTTCAGCTTTGCAGTGGGGGCAGCTAATCCATATATATATATATATAACACCACCCACAATTTAAATACTAAATGAGTTAAGTTTGTACTAAACATAAATAACTCAATTTTAAGTTTATGAATTGTCTTAAAATTAAATGGGTCTTGAATTGATTTTCTTGAAGCATGAATCGAGTATATTTTCATTTTGTGAGTGACATACTTATAGTGGTTTTTTTTTTTTTTTCCCTGTAAGTTCTTATAGTGGAATTGATTGAAAGAAAAAAGATATTAGTCCTTAGATTCTGAATTGAAAAATTCTTATAATATCACTTGAATATGACACGAATTTCAAATGATACAATCTAAATTAAAAATAACACAATTCAAAACATACATTCCATGATAAAAAAACCAATTCCAATAGATTTATTGGAGGGTTCCATTGCCATGCATCTAGTAGGGATTTTTTTTTTCTACCCCGGGCTGGGGATGCCATGCATCCAAAAGGAATTGAACCTACGAATTCCTTAATTATGAGTTTGACACTGTAACCATTCAATCATGAATGCTTAGCTGAGATCCTCATACATTGTGAATAATCAAATTCTGAGGTTGACGAAATAAGATAGTTAATATTATTTTAAAAACTCAAATATAATTCCCACACGTACAAAACAATTATTTCAATGATCAATAAATACAAAACACTTCAAACTAAGATCTATAGTTGAGAGTTATTTTTTATTATAACACTGAGAAATTTTTTTTTGATACCTTAGCATTATCCTGTCCTTACAACGTATACATGTACATCTATAATATAAATCAGGGCAATTTTAATAAACTCATCCGATGGTCTCAAATAGACTTATCCAACAGCCACCAACATCCCTCTCAAACTATTCACAATGTACCGTGTCTTCAGGCATAGGTTACCCATAATGAAATGGGCTCTCTAATGAGCTGACTTTGATATCAACTTATTTTATGGGTTTGTGGTTCTGAGAAAAATTTGACGGTAGTGAGTTTCGATTCGAGCCAATTGACTCAAGTGGTATATTTTTTAGGCTTGATTTGAATATTAAATGAAACAATTTTTTTATTATTTTAATTCGACCGAACTTGAAAAGATCATAATCAAATCAAATTCAAAGGACTCTGGATTGCTGGTCCAGCAGGCCAATCTAATAGCCTCAACTTTGATGGATATTTATTTAGTTTAATGTGGTTAGTTTTCCTCTCTGGGTCCCTTGCTTGGGAAGTAGTTTTGTCAATGCACACTTCATTTTCAGTAGATGTGCCATGTCTACGTCATTGAAACTGAAAATAGGGCTTATCCAAATACTTAGACTCAGTGTTATCCTTATGGAGATTTAGGTTACGTTTGACATAGCTTTTTAAAGTTAGGTTTTTTTGTGGATGTCAAAGGTTGCAATTGACATTATAAAATAGTCACAAACATACCTTTCTTCCATTTATATTTTCAATCTGTAACCGGATAGTCGAACTTAGGACTCGATACGCTGTACACACTATTAGTCTATTTCCCATGTGGAGAGAGAATTAGAGATAGTTCAAATAGGGTTAAAAAGGAGTTGGGTGGTTATTTAAGAAAAAATGAGTGGTCATATTGACTTTTTCTTAGTGGATTTCATGATAAATAAAGGGTATAAATTCTCCTCTTATTATGCATGTAATGTAAAGAGATTTCCTTTCAACATATCATGACAAGTACTTCTTTTTACAGCTACCAATCTTATTGAACATCTGTTCCTCCACTTATGATGTCTTTCTAAAAATTAACTAGTTATGTTACAATAATTTTAGTTGTTACTATATTTATTTAATGACATTTTACTTTTTTTAAGGTACAACGAAAGATTTTTTTAGATGGTCACATGTAGTTTTTTTTATGACAACCCCCATCCCAACTAAGTCTAATTTGTAGTTGATGTTTGATGATTAGGAAAAAAAAAGANTTTTATGACAACCCCCATCCCAACTAAGTCTAATTTGTAGTTGATGTTTGATGATTAGGAAAAAAAAAGAAAGAAAGAGAAAGTCTAATTTGTAGCTATTGTGTAGGGATATTTCTTTTCCTCCTCTCTTTTCTCTTCTCTCTATTTATTAAAAGGTATTCGACCTTTTTAGAACACCATTTTATTCCATTCAGATACACCAATTAATACCCATCCCACCTAAACCATATAATTACTAGGATAAATATGAACCTAAGAAGTTGGCATTTAGTATGGATAGTTCTTCCCTACTCATTGCTTCTAACCTCGGTACATATCTCATCTATATAATAAAGTACAAGAATGAAGGTATAAAAAATAATTTTTGTTTTTTTGTAGTTGAGAACATTTTATTTAAGTTAATCTGATGGTTAATATTAACTCCCCAAATTTAGTATTAACTCCCTACGAGTGTGTTTGTGGTGACTTTTCAAAAGTACTTGTAAAACTTATTAAGCACTTTAAAAAAAAAAGTAGTGTTTAGAACAACTTATTTAATTATTTCCAAATAAGTCAAAAGTAATTTTACCATTTAAATAAGTAACTAACTAAAAGTAAAAACATATATAACTTATACTTCTTTAACATTACTTATCTACAAAATATTTCACCACCACCACCATCACATCACCCACCGCTACCATCATCGTCGTCACTCATCACTAATTGTTGTCACCACTGTCCATTGCCATCACTCACCATCATCATTATCTCATTTTTTATATTTATTACAACTATCACCATCATTCCACCACCATCGTTGCTCACCGCCAGCCACTGCCTCCCACTACCATAACCCATTACCGCTTGTCGTCGCCCACCACTGACGCCATCCACTGTCACCCCTCCACCACAAACGCGTCATCACCCACCACTGCTGCCACCCATATCATCCACCCACCCGCACCACATCAACCCCTACCACCACCAACAAGCACCCGTCATCGCCCATTAACACCATTGTCACCGCCCACCACCACAACCAACCACCGCCACTACCATCGTCGTTACCCCATTACCACTATCATCATCACCCACCACCACCCACACCCACACCCACCACCACCACCGCTGCTGCCGTTATCCATGATTACCACTACCACCATCGTTACCTAGTATCCATTACCACCATCTACATTGCCACCCATATCTATCACCATCACCACGGTCGTTCTTGTCCACCACAATTATCACTGTCTTCCATCATCACCACTACCATCGCTCACCCCCCATCCACTACAACCCATATTTAAATTTTTTTTTCTCTCCTCTATATTTGTGATTTGATTTTGAGTATGAATACAAATATGTTTATAATTAATAATTTTTTTTTCCTCTGTACCTTCAGGCATGAGCAATAAATAATAGTTTAATAAAGAATAATGTTAATGAGACATAATTTGTTGACCTGATTATTCTCCATCATTTGATTGATAATAGACTCTATTATTAGTTGAGACTTGTTATCAATTCAATATTTATGGTATATTAGGTTAGCAAATAACGTCAATAAGGTCTAAATAATATTTGACGAGCCCGAATCTGACTAGGTCAGGCCCAATAAATCAACTGAGCCCAAGTCAGCTAAAATTTAGCCCAAGCCTATTTTACCGATTCGATCCAGTCCAAGATCCAAGTAGTTGGGGAAGACAAGAGCACGTAAGAGAGAGAATATCGAGATATGTATTCATGAAGACCAATCCTACCTTGATTGTACTTACTAAAGAGGTGGTGCCCTCTCCCTAACGTCACCGCCTCACAAAACCTATATATTGTAAGCTCTCTCCACATGGAAAGACATATCACAACATCTCTCCTATCACACTACACCTTAAGCTTTGCCTCTCTACATCTTCCTACACATCAAGTTTCCTTATCCTAATCATTATAATTCTTTCGGAGTGTAATCTCCTGGTTACTTTATTCATTAATAAAGACATCCGGCCACCGCTGTCGTTTCTCGAGAGTGGAGTAGGTCACCCAGATCGAACCACTATATATCTGCATGTTTGCCCTTATTTACCATTTTGTCATTGATTTTTTTATTTATTACTCATTAATTACACCCCTTCATATACTCAACTGTTGATCTTGAACAAGACTAATTTTTGCATCATCAGTTTGGCGCCGTCAGTAGGAAACGACTAGATTTTATACTATCTTCTACTCCATGGAAATCACGACCAGATCGATGAGTCAACAACCGGGAGACAACAACTCGGCTCACCGGGAGGATGTTCCACCTCCCCTCGCACCCTCGGAACCATCCGCTACAGCAACTCCCATCGTCGAGCAACAACTTTTATAGACTATGCAGTTGCTTATAAACAAAAATTAGCAAATCATATAGTTAATGCTCGCCCAGGGAGGCGCTGCCTCTCACCCCAGTGGGAGAAGCCCCACTCCCTCTAACGGAAAAGGAGCAGCAACCTATCCTCTTTGGGAGCCAAACAACCCCCACCATGGGGTCCCTCGCCAGAATACCCTAGGCCACATCAGGGTGCCCCTCGCCCAGCAGTGCCTTCTCAATGCACAAGAAGCTCACGTGTTTCCCCTCCTCATGTACCTTCATAAGAGGATAAAGGAAAGAGCCAATATGGTGATCATGGAAGCCAATACAACCACCCAACGGAGGATGTCCTCAATCAATGAGACAAGAAGATCAGAGAAGTGCAAAACCAACTCGGTGATGCCCTTAATGCCATCAAGTGCCTAAAACGGTGGATTACTTGGTAAGACGCACTGATACACCTTTTGTTACGGATATAGTCAATTATCCCTTACCCTTGGAGTTCAAAATGCCTGCCATCAAGATCTTTGATGGCACCAAAGATCCCCTCGACTATCTTGACACCTATATGCAACTCCACAACGTGCTTGATGAGATTATGTGTAGAGTCTTCTCTACCACCCTCAAGGGATCCACACGCCAGTAGTTCGCCAAACTCAAGCCTTCTTCCATCCACTANAATCTCTCATGCAACTCCACAACGTGCTTGATGAGATTATGTGTAGAGTCTTCTCTACCACCCTCAAGGGATCCACACGCCAGTAGTTCGCCAAACTCAAGCCTTCTTCCATCCACTATTTTGCAGAGTTAAGCAAGTCTATCGTCTCCCATTCATTGGGGGACGCCGGCACCAAAAATTTGTTACTCGTCTGCTCACCATCAAGTAGGATAGGGATGATAATCTTAGGAGCTACCTCACTCGTTTCAATTAGGAAGCTCTCCAAATCGAGGAGCCAAACGATAAGGTAGCCCTAGCCGTCTTTATTGTAGGTCTACGCTCCTGCAACTTTATGTTCTCTAAAAGCCACCCTCCAGCATGCCCAAGCTGCTGTCAAGGGCACAAAAGTACATGAATACCGAGGACGTCACCAAGGCCCGTCAAGGTGAGTACTCCTAAGGAAGGGAGAAAAGAAGGACACCCTCAAAGACAAGTGGGAAGTAGAGAACAAGAGAAAGAGAACAGAGAGAGTTTCTGTTAAGGACCATCTTGGTCCCGTACTCTTGAGAAAACGACAACCTTTTACACCACTCAATGCCTCAGTGGAGCACATCTTATTCCAGATACAAGATGACCCCACACTCTGTTGCCCCAAAAAAATGAAGTTCGCCCCAAACCGGAGAAATTCCAGTAGGTACTGTCGCTTCCACCGCGACTATGGGCACAACACTGATGACTACTTTGATCTTAAAAGGCAGATCGAGGAGTTCATACAGTGTGGTCAGTTGAGGCAATACGTTGCTGGCAGAAGACAAGCCCCACCATCTGGGCAAGACCATGACGACAGAGAACGCCAACAACCCCTCAGAGAAATCCAAATAACCTTCTGAGGGCTATGAGGAGGAGGTGACTCGAACTCCGCCAGGAAAGTCTTGGCCCACCTATGGGACACTGAACACTTGAAGATTTTATCTACCCTTTATTATTTCAGTTGATTTATTCTGTTATTTATTATTTTATGAAATAAAATCCTGCGAATATTATTGTGTCCGAGTTGTCTTGATTTCTTAAAATTTACAAACAGCTTACAAAAGTCAGAACATAGACCTAACAACAAGGTAGACAACTGTCGTTACACTCCCGACGATCAATCATTGTTCACTGAGACTTTGGTACCTCATATGGGACAAGACCAAAATCAAGTCAATACCAAGGAAATACCTACGTCGAGGAAGGAAAAAATATGGGCACCAGGTAACATACCTCCTGAATTCTGTTTGTCCATGTGAATGCCTAGACACTTCCCTGTGTCACCTAAGGCACCGCCCAAGCGACCCAAGGTGAGCGACACGAAGCTCCAGGCTCCCAGCTCCAAATGCCCAGGTGTGTAGCCCCAGGCGCCCAACGCCTCTTAGGCTCCTAGCACCTCTCAGGCCCCCAGCTCCAGGTGCCCAGAACCCAACTCATTTCCATCTCAATGGAATGAACCTCTACCACGACAGTTCTCTCCCGAGCTATACGAAGCTCGGCTTCAACTCCAGCGACCCCTCATGGGAGCTTGCAGCTCTGACGCTGTTCTTGTACAGACAATCACCTTATCAAATTTCAGCTTCGCACTCTCTCATGAGTCGAAAAGAAGCTGAGCCTTATCTTACCTCTACTCCCAAGTAGCCTATGTATCCAGCTTCACACTCTCTCGCTAGTTGCCAAGAAGCTCGACCTTATCGTACCTGTGCTCCTAAGCAGTCTATCTATCCAGTTTCACACTCTCTCACGAGTCGCCAAAAATCTTAGCCTTATCCTACATGTGCTTCCAAGTAGTCTATGTATCCATCTTTGCACTCTCTCACGAGTCGCCAAGAAGCTCGATCTTATCCTACCTCTGCTCCCAAGTAGTCTATGTATCCAGCAAGTAGTCTATGTATCCAGTTTTGCACTCTCTTGCGAGTCGCAAAGAAGCTCGGCCTTATTATATCGCTGCTCCTAAGCAGTCTATGTATCCAGCTTCGCACTTTCTCGTGAGTCACAAAGAAGCTCGGCCTTATCCTACCTCTACTCAAAAACAGTCTATGCATCCAGCTTCGCACTCTCTTATGAGTCTCCAAAAACTCAACCTCAAGAGGTATTACTCTCTCATGAGCCAACCTCAACTGCTCTCAGCAGCCCCCCATGCCTACCTCTCTGATATCTCCGGGAGTCACAAACCTCCAAAGCCGTTCCTTGACCAAAGTCAAGTCAAACCAAGCATTGCCATCGAGTCACTACTAGAAACATAACAACTATGTGGAGCTACAATCCTCATAGAACACCGCACTAGAGTCTCAACTCCTACAGTGGTACAAGGCTAGCTCTGATACACACAAGAGTCACAGTTAAGGAAGGAGTAGGAGCACCACTAGATCCTACTCCTAGGAAGAAATCTGGCCATCAGACCTCGACTGAAAAGCACTGGGGACATCAAACCTCGCCCTCTTGAGAGGAGGGGAAGACACCACTCTAAAAACAAAGAGAGCCTCCACCATCACCCTATTAACAGGGCGCCAACATCGAGAAAATATCAAGCAGAAAACAGAATTGGAGAAAGTGGGTTTTCCTCTTATTCAGTCAAAAGCCATCATTGTCTCCCTTTTTGGAAAAAACCTAGAATGCCAATTGGTCGCTAATGAATGCCTGACAGCTGTCTGCCAGAACGCAGTTTTTCACTACCGTCGATTTCACTAATTTGTGCTCAAACTCAAATTCAAAGAGATAGAAGCATTTTTTAGGAAAATTTGTTGACTAAACCCGCCTTTGAAAATTTATAGGTCATAGATCTCGAAAAAAATACCTGAATTCAAAAAAAAATTTATCTCAAACGGATAACCAAGCGTAAAGTTATGGTCATTCAAAGTTTTGTCATCTTTTTATAATTTTTTGATGCTTCGGACGGTACCCCAGTGCCCAGCTTGGCGCCTGTGCTTGCTAGGTGTCACCTGTTGCCTCCCTACGCGAGTCGGACCACGGAAGTTGGTGTCACCTGCTGCCTACCTAGCACCCAGCTCCAGTGACCCAACGCCCTGGGCTAGCGACCCAACGCCTAGGCCAGCANTGCCCAGCTTGGCGCCTGTGCTTGCTAGGTGTCACCTGTTGCCTCCCTAGCGCTCAGCCTGGTGCCTTCAAGGTGTCACCTGCTGCCTACCTAGCACCCAGCTCCAGTGACCCAACGCCCTGGGCTAGCGACCCAACGCCTAGGCCAGCAAGTTGGCGTCGCCCAGATAGGCTCCTGCTTGGTGCTGCCTAGCGTCCGGCCTAGTGTGTGACCAGGTGTCACCCCACCTGGGTTCCCCCATCTCTCCCTCTTGCCCTTTCTTTATCTTGCTGCGGGCGCTGTCTAACAGCCCATTAGCGCTTCCAATGCTCCTCATGCCACCCAAGGTGTCAGTGCCTCCATCCATCAAAGATGAGTCACCTCTTCTCCTGCATTAGGTGCCGCCATGGCCCTTTCGGTAGCCATGACGACGCCTCCCTTACTACAATAGGCGCCACCCAGACCCCCTCATCAGCCATGGTGCCATCGCCCATGGATCCCTCAACACCTATGGCGTCGCCTATGGTCTCCTCGTTGAAGCCCCTTCTCATCTCGCCCTTTGTGGCATGACCCTTAGTGCCATTAGCGCCTCTCACGGTGTTACCAGCCCATCGGCGTCGACCATGCCCTCTCCACTACTAACTGTTTTTTCCATTGTGGGATCACCACTAGAGTTTCTTCCAATCTCCTTCAACCTCCGACCCTTCATTATCTCGAAAGGATTTGGGCAAAAATAGCTTCTAAGATAAGCCTCCAAGAAAAAGATAAGAGGAAATGGAATAGAGAGACTAAAGACCTCTATTTATAGGCGAGATTCTTTCAAGACCCAGCAAAAGGAATGCAGAAAAGTGCAGAAAACACCTAGTGTCAGTAGATTCAACAGAGTCCCTGAAGATGAAAAGACGTTGTGCAGAACAAGAAAACTTATGTTCGGCCAAGTGAAGAAGAAACTCATGTCCTCAACCCACCTTCTTTCACCAACAGTCGGAGGCTTGGGGCATGGGGGGCAAATGACGAGCCCGAATTTGACTGGGTGAAACCCAATAAATCAACTGAGCCCAAGTCAGCTAAAAGGCAACCCAAACCCACTTTACTAATCTGATCCAGTCCAAGATCCAAGTAGCCCGAGAAAATAGGAGTACGTGGGAAAGAAAATATTGAGATATGTATTCTTGAAGATCAATTCTACCTTGATTGTACTTACCAAAGAGGTGGTGTTCTCTCCCTCACGTCATTGCCTCACCAAACCTATATACTGTAAGCTCTCTCCACATAGAGAGACATCTCACAACATCTCTCCCAACACACTACACCTTAAGCTTTGCTTCTCTACATCTCCCTACACACCAAGTTTCCCTCTCCTAATCATTGTAATTCTCCCGGAGTGTACTCTCTCGGTTATTTTATTCATCAATAAAGACATCCGGCCACCCTTGCGGTTTCCCGATAGTGAACTAGGTCACTTAGACCGAATCACTATATATTTGCATGTTTGCCTTTATTGATCGTTTTGCCATTGATTTCTTTATTTATTACTTATTAATTGCACCCCCTTCATATATTCGACTGTTGATCTTGCATGAGACCAATTTGTGCATCATCAATATTTTTTTTAATAAATAGCACTTATAAGAATAGAACTTCAGTTGGTAAATTAGCTTGTGCGTTCATTAACCGAATGGTGCCTTTTGGTTGAGCTGTAATGGACAAAACACTATAACTTCTTTTATCAAAAACAAATTTAAGAAGAAAAAACAAAATCCAAGGCAGTGGTCCACTTGAGCACATGCTTTAGTATGAATTATTAAGCCCTATTAAAGTTGATGTCTCATACTCGTTCTATTTCTACATCACTCACTTTTAGAGAGAGTTTTGGATTTTGGAAATGCTTCCAAAACAAAATTTTAATAAGACTTGTCCAATACAATGACGTGAAAATAATATTCATATACAAATAAAAACTCCCATTTATTTAGAATGAAAGACCATTAATGACAACCTCATTTTGTTAAGTTTTGTTTTGAATGTCTATTTTTTGTTATAAATGTAAGGGGAATCACACTTTGAACCCTAAAAAATGTAAGAGTTCTCACTTTACACCCTCAAAAATTATTTTCTTATATTGTATCTCTAATGTATTAAAAGTGCTGCAACATGATCTTTTTGTTAGTTTCCGTTGCTTATTCCGTCAAAAATAATTTCATTGATGTTTATGGAATAAACAACAAAAGCTAACCGAATGAGTGCATTGTAACACTTTTAACACATTTAGGGTACTATGTAAAACATTTAATCTTTGAAGATATAAAATAATAATTTGTAAATCTTGTAAAAAAAGATTAAGTTTTCAACTATTGGTTTTCTTCTTTTATTTCCGTGGGATAGGAAAACTCAACTCCTGGTTAAATTATTTTCTTTTTCTTTTTTGTTTGGGAGGGGGTTTACAAGGAATGATTAATTGAGGAAATTTGCTATATATATTGTGGATAATATTATGGTATTTTTGATATTATACCAAAAATTAATTATCAATTGTAGATATTGATTCATGTTATTTGTAACTATTAATTGTTAAAAATAAGAAAACAAAAAATAATTTGGTACCCAAATGAATCCTGCCGACAAATGCAAATTATGAAATGGCTGAAATAAGAAGAGGCAAAGAATGATGAGTGATTGACATTGGAAGGCTCACTTTTGTGGCTTTCCCAACCCTAAACATGGAGGATGTGGTGGGACCGGCGACTGGGGACTTATGGAAATGAACAAAACACCCTTCCCTTTTCCTGGCTGGTGGTTGGTTTCTAAGTCTAACTTTATAGCTGTAACACACTACTACACTCCAACTCTGAGGCCCCAACCCCTCCGCAAGTCAACAACACAAGCAATGGTGTCTCACTACACACCACATGTCATTGTGACGTGGTACGCATCACCTATAAAATATTACATACTCTCAATTAATTATTATTATTTGTAAAATTATCAATTCTTTTTTTATAAAAAAAAATACACCATAACTAAATACAACATGATTAATTAGTCACAACAATAAAAAATTGAGTTAGTAATAAACAAGATTAAACATTTTATCTGGACAAACATTTCTAATTTATTTTATTTTTTAAATCTCTAGTTAAAATCATTGATAGTTTTAAAAACATTACTCCATTAAAACGCATACCTTTTATCAGTTATTTTTGAGAGAATATGACAATTCTTAAAAAAAAATAGAGTACAAACATAAAATTTGCTATTAGGGTATTTTGTATGAATTTAATTATTTTACACAAGTTTAAATAAAAATTTGAGTCGTGCTTATCTAATCATTTTTTTGGTACATAAAAATGAATATAAAAATAGGTCACTCCACGTGTCTGCAAGAGAGCACTGTCTCTCAGTACCAGACAACTATATACAGGAGTACGCATCACACTTACATCGGGGCTGAAGTTAAAATTTTATCACGTGCGTTGAGCATTGAGGAGTATATTTAGCGTTACCAAATTATCGCAGTTACAGAGACTCAAATTTGAATATTGAGTGAAAAAAATTTAGTTCTTACTTATTGAACAGATTGCCAGGGGCGGCCCAATGGAATTAGGAGCCTAAAATGAAATTTATAAATGAGGTCATGTTCATATTTAATAATAATTATTAAATCACATTCATTCAAAATATATATTTTTTCTTTTTGATTCAAGATGAGGAAATAATACACATTAAGTTGCAGCATTTCAATTTTTTTCTGTATATCATTCTCAATAAATAATACAGCTAAGTCATTTATAGATTTCTAATTATTGGTCTTATTTATTGGACTTTTCTAATTGGGTTATATTCTTAGAAGACTTTTTCTACTAAGCTAATGAGTCTTTGGTCCAATAGTACACCTTCCTTTGTAAAGATTTTGCCTTCTTGAGGTCAATGATTCAATCCCCCTCTCCCCCCCCAAAAAAAAAAAAAAAAACATATTGTGAGGTTGTGTCTGGATAGTAGGGTTGGAGTTGATTGGATATTTAAAAAAAATATTATTTCCTATCCAAACCAAACCCATCTTAACTTAGAGTGGATTGGATGTAAACGAGTATCTCCGATTACTCCATTGTTTGGATAGCTCATAACACTTATGTGGGGCCATGAATAAAGATAATGTAATATAAACTATTCTTCATTCCTTTCTAAGCAAAAAAAAAATACACTCTTACAAAATAAACATTTATGAACATATTGCCGTTAACACCATATATTAAAAGACAAATGTATCACTTTTATATCAATTATTTGTCTAGTGCTTTAATTTCGTTAAGATACATGTATCACTTCCGTTTGAAGAAAGAATGTGACTTCTTCCATATGTAATAAAAAGGCAAAGAGGTCGTGCTTCAAAGTTGAATTAACTAATTCGGCAAAAATTATCAACTTAATTTCCATTCAAATCAATTAATGACCACTTTCAAGAAAAAATTTCTCAAGAACCCACCAATCTCCTTGCAGTACTTATTTCATCTCTCTGCTTTTCTTTACACAGGTCTCCCAAAAATCCTCATATTTTCGAATCACTAGATTTTTCTCTCACGATTCATCCGACCCAACTCATGATTTGGTTGCGGAATCACATATTGAATCAACAACTCCTCAAACCAATGAGGACCATATTTTAGTTGATACAAACACCATGTTTGAAGAAAATCCCAGCTCAATTTCTATTGAATTTAAAGAAGACAGTGAAGAAAGGGTAGTGTAAGTTTGGTTCTCGACAAATCTATCATTCTTCTCACTTATCCCGTCTGTGTAAAAAATATCCCAGCTATCCTTGGGTTGCATTGAACCCACATAGGCAGGTTAATTTTGATTTTTCAAATTGGATCGAGATAAACTCGTGTATGATTTCTGGTACACTTTTTTGGTTACCAAATGTGGGATAAATTAGTCTTGCATATTTTTTTTCTCCTATCCTACTGGTGTTATCCCCTTTTAACCTACGATCCAAACATACCCTGAATGTAAAACTTTAACATGAGTTATTAATAGAGAAAAATGGAAGTCGATATGCAAATATAGACTTATTTGAGTAAAATGGAACAGATGAAAACTTATTGGGTATAAGTGCATTTTGATAAAAAAAAAAGACTAAAAACCCATTCTACAAGGGTAACTCTGGCAACAATGACCTTTTGGAAACAATTATATCATAATCCCTTCATAATTTCTCTCTTTCCCTCCCTCTTTCTCCGTTACTCTCTTATTATCCCTCCCTCCCTCTTCGTTACTCTTTCACTATCCCTCCCCTATTCTCTCTTTCCCTCCCTCCTCGTTACTCTTTCACTCTCTCTCCCCATTTTTCACACTTACTCTATCTCCACCTATTTTTTCTCACCAGTACCCACTCTCCTTATTTTTTCTCTCTCTCTCTCTCTCTTACTGATAATTTGTTTTTTTTTCAAATGTGTAAAGTTTTGATTTTTTTTATTTTATTTGAAATTATAATTTTTTTTTATTTTTTGTTATACACCTTATTGGTGTATCTGTTTGATGTATCTCTTTATTG